CAGTTCCTGAGATGCAGAGCACTTATGGGCAAACTGAGTCTGTTTATGCAGGAAGCATTTGCTGATTGGTGCCAGCATTGCTCAGTTTCCCCTCCACAGCTCCATGGCTCTTGGAGACTCCAAGAAACTCCAAATCCCAGCTCCCTGTGCAGAGCAAAGCGTGGACCTGCCCTTGGGAAGGGGAGCAGGCACGAAAGGGGGTGTCAGTGGCTGCAGCTTCACCCAGAGACCATGGATCCAACACAGCTCTGGCAGCTCTGTGCCATCACCAGGGCAAGAGCAATGAGCTGCTCAGGCCACGCTGTGGCTGGAGAGGAACTTGCATCATAACCAAAAATAATCCCAAGGCCGACTGTGCATATGCTTTCCCAAGCAGCACTGCAGCCTTGTATTCACCACCTTAGATCATGACTCCAGAGGGATAAAAGAGAGAGAAGACACAGACCAGCAGGCTTGAAGGTTAATGGGAAAGAGGACGCCTGTAAGAACAGTTTTTTTGCTTGCAACTAGTGTTTTATTTTGAACAAACAGGGGCACTCACAATTATGAGAATCTTTTATGGTTAATTACTGCTATTTATCTTGACAGTTATCAAGTGTCATTTATGATTCTTTTACATCCTTAAACTTTGTCAGCTGAATGTGTAATCTTTAGGTCCCTATGTGTTTAAGACTTATTTTTACACACACAGTTATGTTTTTATATCTGTGGTAATTCACCAGTCAAAACATGACATGCATGATTTTGGTTCCAATCTTTCCACTTTAATTCTGCTCTCACTCCTTCCCTCCCCCCAGTAACCAGTCATATTTGACTGATCTTTTCAGATTAAAAACTAAAAAGGAAGAGATGTGTCAAATTTATTTGCAAATTCTCCTTGTTGAGCCCTGTCACTTTAGCGACAGCCCTCCTCGAATTCCCTCCCCATTTGGGTTTGAAAAGTGGAGGTAACCCTTTCAAGGCTGGATACATTTATTTTGGATCATTTTCCTGCCTTTGCATTCAGAGACTGGTCTTCAAAGGGCTTTATTAATTGCAATAAATCTTAATCTACAGTATTTCCAATCACACATAAAGGTGGCTTAAATCCCTCAGCAGCAGAGAAAAGCCTGGGGAAGGATTTCCTATGTTCCAAAGGACAGATAAAAACTTCCAAAAATCAGCAAAATGGGGGTTTTTTGTTACACACCAAAGCTGATTTTCTTTCCATGAGCATGAAAACCGTAATTTTTGTGAAGGAATACAGTGGGCATCTTGCATTTCTATAAACATATTCAGTTTTCAGTCATCATGACCAAAACAGGTTTTGTGAGAATTTGGTTAAAGCTGCCTGTACAATTTCCTACCAAAACTGGTGCAGGACACGGTCCTCTCCAGGACCTGACACAAATGCCAGTGCTGATTTTACCAAACTAAGGAAACAGACATGGAATAGGATACCAAGGATGGTTTGGGATAGCAAGATGTCATTGCCATGTCTGTCACCATGGTACCTTTGAGCCACCTACAGTGATAGGAATATTTTTCCCTGTTTATATTTTACAGCATTAACCTAATTACATGTTGGAATGAGTGCATGTTTTTCCCTTGCCCATATCACTGGGACCCAGGCTGAAATTCTAACCTTTAAGTAGGTCATTAAACCAGTGTTTATAACAGTACAGCGTAGCAAAGCCTTAATTTCTGATCAGAGTGGAATTCAAAACAGGTCTGTAAAATAATAATGAAAGAGATTGAAAATCTAAGTCAGAGCAAACCAGATGCAGATAGAGTGAGCAGCAGCAGTGTGGAGCTTGGCACAGCACTGGCACACTCATTTGCTAGGCATATGCCTTTTTCCATGGCACTCCTGCTTATTGTAGTTGGTAAAGGGTTGCCCTTTTTCACAGAGTATTTTTCCTGGGCTAACTTTGAATTTAGCAGCCCAGGCTTGAGGAGCCATTTTGTGCTTGATGCCTGCAGGATGCGTTGCCCTGTGTGCCAGTGGGTGAATTTGTAAAAGGTTTTCTCCAGTTTTCCTCTGTGTGAGTGCTGAGGCAACAGCACCTGTATAAAATGGACATGTAGCATGTTATGCTGCCTGTCTTTAAGCCCTGTATGAATATTGACTAATTAGTGAGCAAGGGTGTGATGAGGTTGTTGCAAATGGCAGAAGCTGCAGGGGATAGAGCTCAAGCATCACCTGCAAGTCTGAATGCACAAGGGCCCAGAGAACAGGAAAGGAAGCAAACAAGCTGAAAGGCTGGAGCCAGCCAGCAAGAGGGCTTCAAAAATACAAATAAATTTAGCACATTAAGACTGGCAGCAGCTCATATGGGTTTAATGGTTACACTAAGAATGGACTGTCAATCTGGACTGTCAGCCTTTAGCATGGAGAGATTATAACCTAAGTGCTACCCAAGCCTTAATTACAGCAAATCAAATTTTTGACATATCATTTCAGGACAACAAAGGTCCGACGGTAAAAAGAGTTTCCTGCCCTTCCTTTTAATTTGCACCAGGCTGCTGAGATCTCTGGTGCATAACTTCTGAGCACTTCGGTTTTCCATTCTTAGTTTTCCAAGAAAATACAGTTTTTTCCTAGGGAACTAAAGTGAATCTGGGAACTAAGTCCAAGGTCACAGGTCATGTTCCAAGCTAACATATAAGCTCTGCTCATCACCCAGTATTTGCCTTGATCTCTCCATTCTGGTTACTCTGGCTGTGATTTTTGCGGCTGTCTTCTCTGGGAGAAGGTCTGCAACAGCTCAGGGTGAATGAGCATCCCAGGCAGTATAACTGAGGATAAAACTGTTAAGGAAAAGGTTGGTATGGTAGGACCTCACTTTAAGAATCAGGCTTATCATAGCTGGAGTAAGGAATTGAGGGTGTGCTTGATGCCAAAAGGTCACCCAGCATCACAATGGCTTCACAGATCATGACAGGTTTGTGTTTATTTGGGGATGAGATCTGTCCTTTGCCCAACGTGTATCACAGGCTTATGCACACCCTGATGTCACAAAAACCAGCTGGCTTGGGGATGACTAAATACAACACCTCAAGGGCCCAGCTGCAGGCTGAGACAGAGCACTCACTTCTGGCACATCTTTTCAATTTTTCTTGCCCAGAAGAAAAACCACTGCTGAAAGCCCTTTCCCGTGGGGTGCAGAGAGCAATGAGATATGAACATAATCCTCCAAGTGTCTTTGACTGCCTTCCTGGGTCTTGAGGGAAGCCCTTAGCTAAGGGAACTGGCTCACTTGTGTCAGGGCCAGATAAGGAATTTTTTTAAGACAGAGCATTAGAGAAAAGTAAAAAGAAAAACCAACTTTTTTAAAAGGGGAGGGAGGAATATTTACAAGTGCATGAATGGAAGCTTTGTCGACAGTTTTCTTGGGAGATAAGGAGCTGGACTGGCCCATCTCTGCACGGCATGGACACACTCGATGCCTTTGAGTCTCTCAGGAAAGAGCAAAAGGAGCTGCTGACATTTCTGCTTAAAAGGAAGAATCAATGAATCTTTGTTTCCCACTGCCTGCTTGTTTGACCTTATTGTGTTGCAGAATAGAAAAGAAATAAAAGGGAACGGTGAAGGAGAGCAGATTCGCGCTAATAAAATCCAAGACAAGATCACAGCCCTCTGATCATCACTGGAGATGCCATTATTTGGTTGTTGTCCTATTTGCTGCTGCTGCTCATTTCTGATTCTTGCCCTGCTGTAATAAGTCACACTCTTTCCAGCCATCATCCCTGTATTGACAGGCAAATGTCACCCAGCTTTGATTGACGTCCATTGCTCCTGAATACAGAAGTATGATTTAGGAATCAATTCTGTTTGTTTATTTAAACAGCTCTTTGTGTACCTTGTAGATCTGTAAGCAGGACAAGTGCTTTAATATTTTCTCTGCAACATTGCCACTGATACTGCACATTCACCTTCCCACTCAGTCACAAAGGTGCCCACCAGACTCTGGGGAGGAGAACCCTTTCATGCACAAAAAAAAAAAAAAAAAAAACAACAAAGCAACAAAAAAAAGCAAAAAAAAAAAAACCAAACAAACCCCAAAAAACCAAAAAAAAAAAAAAGAAAAAAAAAGAAAAAAAAGAAAAAAGAAAAAACAAGAAACAACAACAAAGACCAGCCTCCAAGATTTAACAAAATGCTTTGCTGACCCTGAGTTAAGCCAAAGAGATCTTTATATCAGGTCTTTAGCATCTGATGATTTGCATATACCCCGGACTTTTCTTTGGCTTCTAAACAAAAGGGAGCACTTTCCCTCGGTGCCGGTTTGCAAGCCGAGCAGAGGCTGGCTTTAACACCGGGAAACACTGTCGCCAGTGATAAGCACGTCAATTTTAATTCACAGGAAAACTCTTTCCTTTTCTGTCTGTGTAGTTGCAATTGGGACGAGGAGGAAGAGGGAGATCCGAAATTGCCGTTAATCTCTTTATTATTGTGGGAGGTATATTTTCAAATAACTTTTGCTTGGACAATTAGTAAAGCATCCCTGCATTTAAAGCGGTATTTCCCAGAAAACGCTAACATGGCAAAGTGGCCTCAGGGAAGCGTTAAGCAGGAGGTGGATTGACCTTTTAATTCTCGATCGGTGACCCGAAGGGTACCCAGAGGCTGCTAAGCACGTCTTTTCCTTTCGGTCTGCTTCAGAAAGAGCTGTCATCGCAAGATGCAGCTAGTGAGTGAGGCTCACGATTTCGCTGTTCATCCGTTTGCGGGAGAGGTGGGGGAGGGAGAAAAGAAAAAAAAATATATATTTCCCACACTGCCAGAGTAATGCCAAACTCTCTGTGAGTGGGAAGAGCAGAGCAGATGCTGGAATGAGATGCCAAAGCAGCTCCCCTTTCCCCTGCGCTTTTGGGTGCCTATAAATTGCTCCAGCGCGCTCGTCAGCCTCCTCCTCTCCTGGCAGGTGGCACTCGGGCAGGATCCCGCTCTCCCTTCGGCTCCGGCTCCGGCGGCGGCGGCGCGGGCACAGGGCGGCGGGCACCGGGGCTCCGGCCGGCCGGGAGGCGCGTCCCCGCTGAGGACTGTCATCCCTGCGAACAGAGAGAGAGGGAGGGAGAGAGAGAGCGCGGCGGCGAGCGGGGCGATCGCGAGAGGAAAGGCAAGTTCCAGGGAAAGTTGACTCGGACTGGCACAGCCTGCAAAAAAAAAAAAGTCGATCGCCAGCGGGAGCATAAAAGTGCGGGCGGCCGGGGCGCGGCGGCAGCAGCTCGTCCTCCTCTTCCTCTCCCGCTCCGCTCCCTCGCCCGCCCCGCGGCTCAGCGGCCGCAGCGGAGCGCCGCGACCCGCGGGATCCCCGCGGCACCCTCGGCAGGGCGGCCGAGCCCCAGGGGAGCCGAGCTCGAGCGGGCTCGGCGTTTTTTCGGCTCTGAGGAGGAACCCCGCCAACCATCAAGATTTTGTCCAAAAGCAGACAAGAGGATCGCCCTGCGCTGAGCCGGCTGGTGGGCAGCAGGCGGCGGCTGATAGCGGCCGGCGCGCTGGGGGTGGTGATGGTGCTGCTGCTGGTCATCCTCATCCCGGTGCTGGTCAGCTCGGCCGGCACCTCGGCGCACTACGAGATGCTCGGCACCTGCCGCATGGTCTGCGACCCCTACGGCGGCACCAAGGCGCCCAGCACGGCGGCCACGCCCGACCGCGGGCTCATGCAGTCCCTGCCCACCTTCATCCAGGGGCCCAAGGGGGAGGCCGGCCGGCCGGGCAAAGCGGGGCCGCGGGGCCCGCCGGGGGAGCCGGGGCCGCCCGGCCCGGTGGGGCCGCCGGGTGAGAAGGGCGAGCCGGGGCGGCAGGGCCTGCCGGGGCCCCCCGGGGCGCCGGGGCTGAACGCGGCCGGGGCCATCAGCGCCGCCACCTACAGCACCGTGCCCAAAATCGCCTTCTACGCCGGCCTCAAGCGGCAGCACGAGGGCTACGAGGTGCTCAAGTTCGACGACGTGGTCACCAACCTCGGCAACCACTACGATCCCACCACCGGCAAGTTCACCTGCTCCATCCCCGGCATCTACTTCTTCACCTACCATGTGCTCATGCGGGGCGGCGACGGCACCAGCATGTGGGCCGACCTCTGCAAGAACAACCAGGTGGGCGCCGCGCCGGGGACAGCCGGGGACAGCCGGGGACAGGAGGGCAGGGGGCCCCGGAGGACGGGGGTTCCCCGAGGGAGCGGACGCCGTGCGGGCAGCGGGCGGAGCGGCGCGGGAAGGGCGGGAAGCGGGCGGGGAGGGGGAGCCGGGGGGCGCTGGAGGCGGCGCGGGTGCGGGCCGGGGAGGGGAGCCCGATCCCGAGCGGTGGGAGGGGAGCGATGGGGACCGGCGGCCGCCTCTCCGCAGCTGGCAGGGAACTTGCGGGGAACCCGAAGGCTGCCGAGGGGCCGGGTGGTCTGCAGCGCCGAGGCCGCCCGGGCTGCTGGGTGAATGCGGACTCGACGCGCTCTCCTCTGCGGGAGCCGCGCCGCAGGTACCGCTCCCAGCCCGCTGTCGGGGCACAGCAGCTCCCGGCCCGCCCCGGGCGCGGAGCGCTGCCCGCAGCTCTGCCGGGACCGGAGCGGGGCGGGCGGACAAACAGCGCTGCCCCCGCAGGGGCGAGAAGAGCCCGGCGCTCCCTCGGGCAGGGGAAAGTCCCCGGCACGAAAGGGGAGTCAGGGGCGGTGGGTGAGCTCAGGAGAGGGTGGTGCTGTGTTGGGAAAGGGTGAGGCGGGTGGGAGGAACGCAGCCACGGCACGGGACGGGGCTCCCACGCAGCGCAGCGCCGCGCCGGGCTTGACACGCTCAGCCCCCGGAGGGTGCGAGGCTGCTTCTCCCTGTCAGGAGAGCAGGTAATAGAGCGAGCTCGGCTCCCGCACACCTGAGCCCCTGGCGGGCCGGTGCCGCTGACGGACCGGGCCAGGAGGCACACCCGGGAGCCCGGGCAGGACCCGAGTCTGTCGGCATCCCCTGGGCAGGATGAAGGCATCGGAAATAATTAAAGGCTTTGCGATGCTGCCGTCTGAAACACAGAGGAATCATCGCATTTAATTAGGATAAACGTAGCCACTGCCTGTTACATTGCTCCCTTGTAACCCCTCCTTCGCAATTTTGCGCCTTTTCCATGAGTAGTTGACAGACGCGGTTAGGCTGGCACCAATTCCTCCGGCGCTCGGAGGCACCGCCATCCCTCAAGGCTCTGGATGCCCAGGGACAGTGCGAGGTGCCCAATGGTTCCCGTGTCCCCGGGGCTCCGCGGTGCTCCCCGGTACCCCGGTCCCCCGCGCACCGGCGGCGGCTCAACAGGTCCCGCTGTGCCCGAGCCGTCCCGGCCAGCGGGGCCGCAGGGCGGGCTCGGGGAGCTCGGGGCCAGCGCTGCCGCTCCCCCCGGGCTGTTCGCCCTCGGGCTGGGGCACGGCTCGGCTCCCCGCGTGTCCCCAGGGCTGACAGCGGCCCCGTGTCCCCGCCGTGCCCGCACGGCCCCGTTCGTTCGCGCGTTCCCTCCGCAGCCGAGCGCGGCCCTTTGTGCGCAGCGCGCACGGCAGCCGCGGCCGCCGGTAAATTAATCTGATATGCCACTTAACCTTTTCTTTATGGCTCCTCAGAAGGACTGTGAAAACGGAATAGTGAGGACATCAGCGGCAATTAATTAAATTAGAAAATATCTACCATAAATACTGTCTCAACAGATAAACCAGGACTAGTAAAACTAAGTACATCCTAATAATATTCCCTTTGATATCTTCCTGCAAAAGTAATATTCTTCACTGCAGAAATACAATTTTACTTGCAATTAAAGAATTGATCTATTTTTACCCATATTTATAGAGTGTTTACTTTCCTGAACACTGAAAAATAAGTACATAGCAGTAGTTTTAAAGAAGCATCCAATTACAAATATTCAATTGAACCTGAGGTCTAACCATTTCCAAATATAGGTACTTCCAGTGCCAGACATGAGGCAAACTCAGAGTTATTCAAAGAAGAAAGAAAAAACCCACCTAAAGAGAGGTTCTATGTGTACATTTGTATATACTATATGAGATATTTAGGGAAATACCTGCACATCAATGGTTTAAAATTGACCCCCAGTTTTAATGCCTCAATGAGTGATTAGGATTTATACTTGAAATACTAAATGCTGATGTGACAGGCTTTATGTATACTTGTAAGGAAGCTCAGAAATTTTGAAAGTAGTTAAATGGAGTGACAAAGGCAACATATAAATCCCATGTTCTCTAACAATGAAAAACCCAGAAACATTGAAAACTGTATGACTTACAGAAAAAAAAAAAAAAGCGTTCCTAAGCAATACATATGTGAAACCTCAAGGTCCCCAGTGCTACCACATTATTAATAATGGTTATCAAGCCTTATGTCTGCTTATTAATAATGGTTATCAAGCCTGAACAGGGAAGTGCTGAGGTGACACAGCTTGGGGATGTGTGTGCAGGCTGAGAGCGTAGCTTCATGGAAGGACTTACATGGAACTTGTGAAATGTATTGTCTCATAATGCTTTAATTTTGAGATGCATTTACCCTCTTGCAGCAGTACACTCCATTCATTTGAGGAGAATTTATTTGAGACTGTTCTCCTAGGCTTTAAAAAGAAATTGTTCTGGCTAACCAAGCAAGAAGGTAAACCCACTAGGAATAGCATACAGGACCTTTGCTGCTATACACAGGGCAGTAACATCTGCATTTTGGTTTCTAGACTTTCAGTATCCAGAATCTTTTTCTTTTTTCCAGCCAGTATGTATTGTGTAGAATCTTAAAAATGAAATATCCATTGCTGTTGTAGCCAGTGTCCCCATGCTGACTGCTGACTTCCTTAGGATTGTCACTGATGTAATTCAAATTCTCCCCTACCATCCACAAGATTTTATACAAATCCAAAAAGCAGAATTTCATTAGGAAGTAAACGGGAATTTGGAAAGTCCTTTAAACCACTTTTCTCACCATTATGCAAGATCCTAGTTCCATGTGAAAGTTCTTCTACCTTGTCTGTGGCCTTTTCACTCCTCCCCACCTGCTCTTTCCATTTTCACTGCCAGCAACCACCTCAGTCCATTATTTTCTCTGGAAGATCTTTCCAGGGTTAATGGCCCAGAGCCTTCAACTCTGCCCTGCCAGTCACAATTCCAAAGGAAACATCCAGCACTTAGAATAATTATTGCTTAGAAAACTAGCAAAAGAGATCACCTCTGTAAACAATACCAGGCAAGTCAGGACCAAGAAGTCCTGAAATAGTCGGGGTTTATCATCATGCCATGTATCAGTTTAAATTTGCAGCCTGTCACAGCTTTGCAAGCCTTTGCAGCCCTTCTCACTGTTCTTACAGGATGCATAAAGAATTTCCACCTACTGTGATTTTTAAGCTGCATAATGCCATAAGATCCTGCATGGTAAAAGAACCCCCTCCTTTTCAACATTTCAATATTAATGTGAAATCATATCACATGAAAATTTAATTTGGAAATTTATCATGTAAACTTTGAAAGGAATCCATGGAAAATTGTGACTTATAGCCTATTTTTTTCAGTTCAGAGCAGAAAAAATCCCACATATAGTACGCCAAGTCATGCATTATTACTTAGTTCAGATTTGCAATGCCACTAAATCATTTACTGCTCTGTAACTACACTAGAACAAAGACAAGCAACAAGCAGATGACGTGTTACACTGAAATAAATCACATACAACCATGTTTAAATATTTTACCAAACAGAGTCAAATTATATATAAATGATTTGGAGGCTTACAATGGCACAGGCTGTTCATTGCTGAAAACCAACATATATCTTGAAATTACAGATTATTTCCAGTTTGCAAGAAATGTCAAATTTAATCAGTAGTGGAATACCAAGGGAGAAATGGGAAAAAAAATATGTTTAAGGGAAAGTTGCAAATGAAATGCCCTCAATGACTTGTAAATTTCAAAAACTTACAGCAAATAGTGACCTGCCTGTGATTTTTCAAAAGTGCATCTCTTAAAACACAGTGAAATTAAATGTTTGCTTACTGAACTGTGGTCATAGCAGTTTTTCCAAACCCAGACTGCTTGTGTGCAGGTGTGTGGGGGGTGTACTTCTTGTATTCTTTTTTGCAGCACGATCCTATTGCTTAGTATGACAATAAATTGCCTCTGGAAAAAGTCCATCTTGGGGACTCCCTGTGGGCCTCCCTGCGGATCCTCAACATTGTCAATCACTTGTCCCACTGATACAAAAGTTACACCAAATGTAAAACTGGCACACGATCAGATCCAGTTCTCCCAACTCCAGCTATTCTTTACACATATTTGTAAGAAGGCTCTATACATCTACAGAAGATCAGGCATTTGTGTATTCATCAGATGACCAAGAAAGGAGAATATTATTGCTTTAGTTTCAGAAGTACAGCAGGAGAAAATAAGCAAGTGCCATAGGAATAAGCTACAATACACGTTGCCAGATGTTTCAAGTGGCAACTCATGCATGTTGAATAAAACTTCGAGGATATGCTTTAATTTCAGCAGGCAGGAAAAATTGCCTGAGTTTTCTTAACCAGTGGTTCTGTATTTCATGTAGGTTCGAGCTAGTGCCATCGCTCAGGATGCTGATCAGAACTACGACTACGCCAGTAACAGCGTGGTCCTTCACCTGGAGCCAGGAGATGAAGTGTACATCAAATTAGATGGAGGAAAAGCACATGGAGGAAACAACAACAAATACAGCACATTTTCTGGATTTATTATTTATGCTGACTGATAATGAGTAAAAAGACCCACCAAACCAGTCGAGAAACGAAGCCTGCTCTTCTAAGCGATGGATTGCGTGGCAAAAGTCAATGAAACAAGCACCCCAGCAGAGAGTGACCACTGAACACCTCAGCAGTGGGGGGAAATGTTGAATGCTACCTGATTCACATCTGTACAACACAGAGAAACCTTATGTTAAAAACCACAAACCAAGTTAAGCAGATGTGCGATCCACTTCCGCCAAAGCAAATACTTCCTCATTGTTACGTGTCCATGTGAATGAAGTTCTGCATAGATCAGATTTTTATAGGCAAGGAAAGCCCACCTAAGGACACTGAGTTATTTCTTCAGTGTATATGATACTTTGATGTGTTATGATCTTGCTGCTTTATCCATACTTCAGCTTTGGTTCTTGTGACTTACCTGCTAACAATGATGCTTGGAGTCCACTCATAGTGTGGTGAGGAATGATTTTACAATAAAAGGAAGAGGTAATCAAAATATACTTTCTCTCTGAAAAGAAATTGTTTGCCTTGTACTTTTCTTACCCTTCCACGTAAAACTAGAAACTAATCAGCTTTAAGCCTTAACTCAATGTTTCTGTTCTGTAGGTTTACATTAGACTTTTAACAAAAAAATCAATCCAGTGGAGTTATTTAAATTTTGTCTTTCCCTTAGCTGTCCTCTAAAAGAAAATGACAGAAGAAACACTATTTTCCCCTTTAGAATATAAGACTTGACAAACTATTCTATTGGACCATATCCCTGATTCCGCCAAAGCAAATGGCTAAATTCTCACTGCTATTAGTGGAAAAGGGATTTTATTTTGTATACATGTAAATATATATTTAACAATTATTAGAGGCCCATTGTTGATGGTTAGTTGTGTAAATATTTAGAAAGCCTGGCAACCATACCATCAGACTAAGAGGCAGAGTGTTTTCTTTGCAGCAATTAGTCTTCATTAGTCTTCTAGCACTTAGTCTGTACCTGGGTTCTATTTTTAAAAAAATAGTTATGGATTAATATAGTGCAGATGTTCCACTAGAATTTCATAGGAATACAGATGACCTTTATTGTCTTAGGTGTCTTGTCTCACTGAAGTCAGTGGAATTTTTCCAACAAAGGAAGAGTGGGAGATCTGACACATGAGAAAATGCTGTCACACAGACCTTTTCGATGGAAGCTAGTACCAGTTTGTGTAAGGTGTGCCTACGAGATGGACACAGAGAAGCATTTTACCAAAAATGATAACACATATGCAAAGAAAGAAGCAGATATTTACATGCAAAAAAAGTGTGTTATAAAACCTATTTTTCTCATTCATATAGATATAAATATATAAAGTCTCAAATAAGCTTAATCCATATAGAGGATTAATGGCTTGGAGAATAAACTAAACAGAGATACATAGTTATAAAATGCTTTAAAATCAGTCATAGCAGTAATGTCCACAGATTTTTTTTTTATTCAGAAAATGGATTTATTATTTGCTTTGGTTTTGGGAGTCTATTTCTCTTAGGTTAAAACTTTCAGATTTCATTCTAAACCTAAATTTCAGCAAGATTATTAAATTTCTTTAGCACAGTTTGTTATGTTATTTATTTTCACCTTTCGGCAAAATCAAGGTAATATTTCTGTAAATCATTAAAGAGTAACAGAGGCTACCCCTAGCATTGCTATTTCATATATTCTGTCACAAGCAACCTTGTCTAATGTAATAAGGGTACAAACTTAGATTTATCTGCACTAAAATTTCCAAAGTGTCTGCCACTCGGACAAAAAAGCTCTCCAGTGCTGGCTACTCAGCAAAAGTCTGATAGGGATTTTACACATTGCCCTAAAAATCTCGTTGGAATGAGTGAACCTTTTCTCAAACAGAACGTGTTCCTCCTTCTGCTTTGAGTCGTTCAATTCAAAACAAACGCCGAGCGAGCCCAGGCTGCGGAGAGGATCGCCAGGCAAACTCATCCAGGGTTTACAAGGGGACATGGTGCTGCCAGCTGCTTGTGTATTATCTCACCAGATGGGCAATGCTTCTACCTTATGACAAAGTGCCAGCTCATGTCTGTGCATTGTAGTGGTTACTCCTGTTTCATTTCTACGAGGCGATTATTTCAGTACCTTATGTGTACCTGACTTGTCTGCTCCTCCACTGTTGCTGTTGCTGGCCCGTGCACCCCCACAGCAGTGTAGCTAGAGATTCCCTGTGTGGTGTCCAGCAGTCCTGCACCTAGAGCTAGAGATCATTCACAACCTGCAGTGTGCATTTACCACGGTGTGTACTGGTAAAGCTCAATACTACGAGACATACATGGTCAAATTTGAAGAAGCTTCTGAAATCAGGCTACCGCTGCTATTGGATAACACCATTTTTTGGATAAATCACCTGCCCTGGTTAAAGTTAGACAAGAGCAAAGAACACACTTTATGTGAAAACCACATATAAGGCAAACATTTCTTCCTTTTTCATCATATCTTGATATACTGATTTGTAAAGACTTATATCACAACCTTTGTTATAACTTATACAACTCATTAAAACTGTATTATGTAATATATTTTGAGTGCTGGTGTTGCATCCTTACAAAAAGAAGTTGGTGTGTGTCAAGTTTTACATGATTGCTGTGAGACTCCAAGTTCGTGATAAGAAATTAATGCAATTAGAAAAAGACATCTGTAATAATATCGCACATAATTTAAGAGGTGATCAAAATGCTTTATTCAAAAATATATTTTTCAATGTATTTTCTACATTTTCACTTACAATTAAGTAAATTGTTAAACTAGAAAGAAACCTTATCTTTTTTTGATTTGAGATTCCTCTTGCCTTCTCTTGTCAATGGAAGCCAATTAAAACTTCCAGACCTTTCAATCAAGTATTACTCAAAGAATATGAGGATAATGAGAAGATTGACAGTATTACAAGGATTAAAATCAGCCCCTGAGGACAGGAAATTTAACTGAAAACCATAAATTCCTTCCAAGGAAATTTCCTTCCAGGTGACACATCTTCAGAAGTAGTTTGAAGGTAACATTCAGTAACAGTATTAGATTATGCTTTTGAAACAATTATTTTAAAATTTCAGTTGAAAAGATTCTGTAGGTAGGCTCATATTCAGTAAATCATTCATGAGCAAACTTTTAGAAGGGAGAAAATGTAGAGACAGTACACAGTTTTAATGTTCTAATTAAAAAGAAAAGTTACAATTAGTTTGTTTGCATTGAGTTTTTCAGAAATTTTTTTAAATGACTGCTCTGCTGAAATCTGAATTTTATTAAGCTTCCTTATAAATCAGGCATATTTATTCATTACTTAAAAGTCAACCACCGCTTTGGATTTGCTAGGAGTATTTTATCAATTTTATCTTGGGATATGCCTCTAATTAGCATTTTAGGAACTATATTTTTTAGGATATGTGAATATCCATGACCTCCATATTTCATCAGCCTGTTCTTGGTGTGCAGATCATGAGCCATCAGAATTCTGTCTTCATAGCCTTCTTCAATCAGCGTACGAATCCTGCAAAAAGTTGGGAGAATCCTTGTCAGTGAAAGTTCTCATGTAACAGCATTTCCATTTCTTACATTACTGTACTGCTGGACTGTAATATAACACAAAATACTTAGGTGCTCAGAGGATTTACTCCTTACATTTACCTGAAAATAAAATATATTTTTTATTGCATGAAAAGTATCCCACCTCTGAAAACACACCACCACTTATATCGAAACGGAGAAGTAAAACTTTGCTTTTGGCACATGACTTTGCATTTCCAGACCCATTAATTCCACAGAGGAATTCAAGAACTTCAGCATCACCATGCATGGGACACAGGTTTTATATAAATGAGTAAATAATAATTTCCTAGATAAATTCCTTCTCAGCAGGTTACTTTTTGCTGCTGTCACAAGGCTGGTCCCATTACATTTGCTAATGACCAGATTCTGTGTGTGACAGGTCTGTAAAGGAGCCTGGATCAATAACATAAATACTTTCAGATCTTTGGTTGAATCCCTTTTAACAAAGCAGGTTAATAAAAAGTTGAAGTTGCCAGTATCATACTCCATATAGACAGTTAACATCAAAACACATTGCAAAGATGTTCATTAAAGAAGACAAAGAAGACTGGCATGGCACAGCACATGCCAGGAAATAAGGGGCATTAATTAATAAGGCAGTGCAGCTAAACAGCCTTGGCAAAATGACAAGTCAGCTTGGAAAAAGAAGTAATCCTTCTGGTCATACTCTTGCAGCAGGACTACTACAAGTCCTTCTCTTCACATTTCATTCAGGTAGCCTTACTCCCTTGATCAGCTCATTTTTTAGCATTTGTGTTATGTGGATGTCTACACTCCTGTACTGCATGACTGTCAAGTTTCTCAGTACGCTTCCATTGAGTTTGGCAGAGGATTACAGCACTGAAGTGGCAGGGACTGACAAACCGGTCCTGGAAAGTGCTCATTCCTCAGGAAGGCCTCCAATTCCATCACTTGCCAGCACTCTGAAATCCTAATCCTTACCTTCCTGACAATGCTGTGATCAGCAAGAAAACAAAAACTAGCCTTACAAGTACCCACACAGTATCTGAAAGCTCTTACTGACAGTTTTTATTACAGGTAGTTACAAGGAGATACATGCAGCAGCACCTAATCAGCATGGGCAGTGGAAAGAAGGCAAATAGGACAGAATTTGGTAAAATGTTATTTTTTTTCAAAAACCCACCATACATTGTGCCATACAGTGCACAACACTACATAAACCATAGTCTTACAACATCACAAGAATCTCCTCCAGCCTGAAATACAGAAAAACCACAAGCCAACCCAAAAGTAAAAGTAATGGCACTAGAGGGACTAAGTTTTTGCTGACCAAACATATTATTAGAATCACCTCCTTTAATATTGGACTCATTTCATGGGTGGGGGAGGCATATGAACCTTTCCATTCTGTATCCATTGCTCCTTTTTGCTCATTCCTTTATATTTAGTTATTACTTTCTGACTCCAAATTGCCCCAGAACAGAAGTCAGTGTTTTCCTTGCATTGGCAGCAGACTGCAGCCAAACTGCTGAAGAACACAGACAACTAAAATGAGTTAAGTAGGTATGTTATGACTACAGAAGTTTATGTTTTAAGCAAAAAAGATGTGAACAAGTATTTTCTATTCAGTATTTTCATTTAGAGGTCAATCTGGTTTCTACTTCTGTGGTGCTGTTTCACAAAACAAAACCCTAAAGAGGTTGCCCCAGCCATCCTTAGTCCACTGATATAACACAAATACACACACTCACACTGTGCAATGAGAAGACAAACCTTTCATCTTTTCTTCCTTTGGACAGCCTGCTGCAAGAAATACTCAGACACTAGAGAGTTTCAGGAGAGATGAGGGTGGCTGAGCAAGCATCATGGATGGAATGAAAACTCTGCCACAGTTGAACATGCACTTGTTAACCAAGGCCTAGTCCAGTCCTCTCTAAATATTCCCCAGTGCTTCCAGAGATGCTGACTTTCCATGGCACAGGAGAGGGCAGGAGGCACAACAGAGGGAGCAGATTTACTCATTCTAAATGGGAAAACTGTGGATTCCTTGCAACAGTTTAAAATATTGAGTGCAAGACTGAGAACATTGCTAAGAGAGAAACAATTTCTAGTGTGAGAAGCAGCAGCAAGTGCTTGGGAGGGTGGAAGAATAGCCACAGCACCTTCTTAGGAGAGAACAGTTTGAAAACAGATTAGTTTCAAGATTAATCTGACAATGAGGGGGAGGGAAACTCTGTCTGAGATATAAGGGAAAGCTCATAAAATCTTTCTCATCAAGGAGAGTGAAAGAACTGTTTGTGACTCTGGAAGGTAAAAAGACACAGGCAGGATGGCAACCCACCCCTCAGGCACCTGCCACTTCACTGCTCACACACACTGTGGACAAACAGCATGGCAGCATCACACCTCCAGATGGAGTGGAAGGAGTGAGGTGTCCGTTCCCAGCTGATCCTACCTTCTCTCAGACAGTTTCTGTACCGAATGTATCTCCTTGGCAAAACTTTGTGTTAGCACAGCACAACAGATTGGCCGCGCAGCTGAGCTGAGACTGCAGGTGCTGATGAGAAGCAGGGAAGAGGTATCCTGCCAGTGGGACCAATATTTTCACATTGTGAGTGAGTGTGAGGAGAATGGGAGCTCTGAAGAGACAGGAATCACATCCTTCATAACAGAGAAAGGGCAAAAGGACGGTGGGAGGAAAGGTGATAAAGTGCTTGAAAGAAAAAAGGCAGTTTTCCAGGATGGAAGCACAAATCCATCCAAAACAACCAGTGAGTTTTGCTGGGTTAGCAAACCAGTGAGGAGATAAAACAGGCTCAGATGATGTTTAGTAGCAGCACTAAGTTTCCAATACTATGTTTCAAACAGAAGTACTTAATCCTAACATAAATGCAGTATTGTCAGCCTTTTCCTTTTTACAGACTGTATAAATTTGACCAGATCAGCAGGGAATTAGGAAAGAGAATGAAGTTTAAAAAGCTCTTAATCTTCTTCTCAAGTAACTTCCTACAACACTGTGATTCTGCATCTTCCTCTAAGAAAGAAGAAATTATACATGCTGCTCTAACTGTGTGACACCAGCAGGGGAAAATGGGATTATTTCAGCATGACAGAAGACAGTTTTGAACAACAAGCAGGATCACTCTGTGATGGCCTTAAAACAAGTATTTTTTAATCAATAATATTTTTTAATCAATGGCCATGCTATAGCTAAAGCTGCATGGGAGCAGATACCTTGCAATTCTCTCATTGTCGCTGGGCATGTCAATGTCTGGATGGAACTGGTAGTGAAGGAACTCTGTACCAAACAGGTCATACTCTAGGTAACATCCAAGCTTAGCAAATTCCAGAAGTTTCTTTTTATCAAATATGGTCCTGCAGAACACATGTAACACATAGTCAGCACTGTAACAGGAATAAAACATCTTATGGTATGAGGACAGGTACTTTGTGATCTCCTACTTGCAAGGAAAAAACCAAATAACCTACAATATAATTCACCCATTTAAGAAACAGAACTCCTGTTTGACTCATGCAACTTAAGATGATACACAGCACTGTCCTTCTTACATTCATTTGAGATTTCATGCATTAAAAAACCAAAACAAAACAAACTCTTTCCCCATGAAATAATGAAAGCCTCTCCAATAATCTTTAAAGGGAAACAGAAAAGTTACTTACTTTTGATACCATTAACCCTCTCAACAGACAACCTAACAAGGAAGGACATTTAAGGAGGAGGTTAATTCACAGTGATATTAAAAAAAGAAGACAATGGATTACTCACACAAGACAGATTTACTTTCCCAAAAGAGTTACAGGAGACAGCTTCACCCAGGGCTTGTTTCATCCATCACACACCAGCAATATACAACTTTGTCTCTAGTTTCTATTCTGTACAGTGATGTTTCTAGATTGCCATTAGAACAGCAATATATCATTGTTTGCACTGGGATCTGGCCAGAACGCCTTAAGGAAACGCTCTCACCAAAATACATAATGGCACTGTGAGTATCTG